TGATGCACCGGCGGGAAGTGGCACTTGACGGGCAGCAAATTGCCGGCGACGCTCCATCTCTGCTTCGTAGTGGGTGGACCTACTATTTTCGATGTGGCTGCAGACATCTACACCGGCGTTGATGTGGCCACGAAGGTCGCGAAGGGGTTCATTGACCTCTTGGTTGCGGTTGTCACCCCGACCTCCCTAGGGGCGCGGTGGGCGGCCGTCGTGGTGTGAATGAGCTTCATAGTTGCCTCTGGATCCTCTATAGAGGTAGGGACCTCTAGCCTGAGGTCGGGGGCCCTCAGCGCCATGATGCTGGCCTCCTCCATAGCGGTGGGAGCTGTGGCTACGAGCTGATGTGGTGGAATAAGATGGGGAATCATTTTGGAACTCGTTGACTTGGACTTGCGCTGCTATGATATGTGCTTGGACCTTCTCGACCTCTGGAGTGTGAGGGAGTTTATCGAGCTCATTGAAAGCAATGGCTAGATTGGCGCTTGGAGTCTGGTAGACTAGCTGGTCGCCCACCATGTCAAACGCCTCCTCCAGATTACGTTTATGGTAAGGCGGGCCGCGACCATCTTCGTTGATGACTTGGGCTACTTCTGCATCTCGGCGACATTGGCGATCGGCGTTCTTCGCTAGACGAGCTTCACGCTCTTCAGTGGTGTCGCCGTCCTTGGTGACGCTGTCGTGGCTAACGTGGAAGATCATGCCCCCGAACCCCAGAGAGAAAGTGGGGCAACTCGATGCGGTCTTGGTTGAGCCCTCGAAATAATCATCGAGGCTCTTGTTCAGAACATTGTGGAGAGATTTAGTTGGAGGAGAGGGTTGATTCAAAAGCTGGCAAACAGCCACCATGTTGACCACGGGTGCGGGCTGACTAGAGTCAGCCGAGTCAATGATGTAGAGGTCGGTGATGTGGTCGCGCTCGGTGTGGTCGACAAAGAGGTGGTGGATGGCGTTCTGGTACGCAGATCCCGCACCCTCCTGTCCAAAGGGATAGGGGCTTCGGTGGGTCCTCCATCAGGGCTTCGTAGTCGGCCAAACGTAGGACAGTAGTGGAAGTGGTCGGCGTCGCACCGTGCGCCCCTCTAGAGTAGCCATGATCACCAGATTGGAATCTAGCCGCCTTGAACGATGTGGCCGAGCAGGTCGCTCGGTTGCAGTGGCTTGGTCATCTTGGAGTACGGGAAACTCGTCGCTCGCTCTAGATTGATCTGAGACCGAACCAAAGAGGAGCTGACATTCTGCTAAGCGGTCTGTGACCCGATCAATGGATCCGATCAGATCATCATTGCTGATGGATCTCCTAACCTAGCGGCGGGGCGCTAGGATCGGAGATGTCATTGGAGGTGTTGGCGTGATTGGTGCAGGGTGATCCTACACCGTCTCCATGATCTCCCCATTGCCATCGGGGCCGATGACCTAGGTCATGGATCCGACTGTGAAGATCTGACCCGGCTTGGGAAAGTGACCATCTGGTATGCCATGAATTCAGCACGCACACCCCCTACCTGGCGTGCCACTATCGACAAAATACATCTGGCAGTCTACCGAGGGGTATGCCCATGGTAGTAGATGAATCGATGGAGGTGCGCGTGAGGGAGCCGGATGGTGACACAGAACGCGAGAGACAACGATTAGACAGTTTCGGGCCGTCAGCTTGACGTAATACCCTACGTCCTGTGTCTTTGTGGATTGTATTGCGTATGATCCGATGAAAACGAGGGGGGTCCCTACTCGCCTTATATAGCTCGTGGGTGGGGTTACAGATCGGTTGTTTCTATCCTAATCGATTTTATAAGATAGGAAGTTACAGATATTACGGGATCTGGCATATCCGAGCAGGTTTCCTAGATCGTCGAAAATCTTCACGCAGTCTTGCGAGGAACGCCGACCTATGTCATGCCTCGCACGGCGTCATCTCGTAGGCTGGGCCTCCACCAGTGGCGTGGCCCATGAGTAATCTTTTGGGCTGGCCTCCCCTAGCGGCTCAGCTCATGTACAGCCCTGCTGGTATCGGGGGTTATAGCCCCATATACGCCTACTAAAACATGTTTCTATGCCTTTTGTGTGTGATGTAGGATGGCTGGAATGAATTACTCTCCATTTGGTGTGAGAGCGACGGTGGCTTCAGACAAAGGACATGGCTTGCGACGTTCACGACTTCCTTGCCTTGCGGCGATGGCGTAGTGTGATCTTGATGTAGTTGATGGGTTAATGTAAAAAGTTGATGTTACAACAAATTTCTATACATTGTTGGAGCAGTTATCCGTGCACTTCTACACAATTTTATACATTGTTGGAGCACTCTTCTATGCTTTGTTAGAAGTTTAGAACACTTCGACATACATTGTTGGAACAATTATTTGTACGCTTATACACAATTCTATACATTGTTGGTACGCAATTCTATATATTGTTGGGACACAATTTTATACGTTGTTGGAGTAGTTGTCTGTATATTTTTACACAATTGTGTACACTGCTAGAACACAATTCTATACATTATTGGAGCACATTTTTATTTAATGTTGGAACACATTTCTATACATTGTTGGAACAACTATCCATGCATTGTTGGAAGACTTCTATACATTGTTGGATGACATTTCTATCCATGTAACTGACATTAATTTCAAAAATAGTTTTCTACTCCTACTAAAACAGTGGGAAGCATGTTGTGAGATGGGACCATTATGGATAGTCTACCCTAGTGGGTAGTGTTTTATATGTTTGTATGATTGTTTCTCTATTAAATAAACATTCACCTAGAGGAAAGCACAGTGTGGGTGGGGTCGTTACAATGTTTGTTATAATAATCCCCTAGTGGGAAGGGTTTCGTGGGTTTCTAAGCATTGTTACTCTATTAAATAATCATCCTCTATTGGAATGTCCATCTCGTGGAGAGGTTTTTATGCGGTAACAAAATTAATTTTTATTCATCAAAACTACTAATTTCTATGCAACGTCGGTGCCAAAAATGTTTCTACGTATCTTGACCATTGATTCTATGAATCCGATTGTCCATCACGTGCTATTTTTCAAATTTCAAATTTCGGAGAAGACGAGATCGTCTCCATATTTTTACGCTTGTGGTCTCCATGTTCTATGTATTGTTCCCATGTTAATTATACATCCCCATATTGGGAAGCATGATGCTGGTGGAGGCAATCACGGTTATGTCAGGTGAAATGTCCATCTCATGGAGATGTTTTCAAACGGTAACAAAATTAATTTTTATTCATTCGACCACTAATTTCTATGCAACGTCGGCGCCAAAAACTTTTCTACGCATCTTGACCGGTGATTCTATGCATCCAATCGGCCATCATGTGTCGTGATTCAAATTTCAAATCATGGAAAAAGACAAGATCGTCTACATGTTTCTATGCTCTTGCTCACAAGTTTCTATGCGTAGACGAAAGCATGATGTTGGTGGAGGCAATCACGATTGTGCCAGGTGGAATGTTCATATCGCGGAGAAGTTTTTACGCGGTAATGAAATTATTTTTTATTCATCAAACCACTAATTTCTATAAAACGTCAGCGCCAAAAACTTTTCTACGCATCTTGACCATTCATTCTATGCATCCAATCGGCCATCACGTGCCATGATTCAAATTTCAAATTTATGAATTTTATTTTGTTTAAAAAAAATATTCGCAGTGGATCTTGAATCGTGCACAAAAATATCAGGAGTTCAATGGTGAAAACCGTTTTTGAATCGAATACTTCGTTGACGAATTATAATGAAAAACGAAAGAGATTAGATTGGATACGTACATGCATGCATGCGTCAACTATGTCAGGTTGTGTCAAGTGGAACGTCCAGCTCGCGAGAAGGTTTCTATGCGATAACGAATTAATTTTCATTCATCTAACTACTAATTTCTATACAACGTCGTGACAAAAACGTTTCTACGCAGCTTGAACTAAGTTTTTATGCATCCGATCTGCTGGGTCTGCGATAATCCTCTACCCTGGCTGGGGCTCTCCATTAGCTATTTGGAGCCCCACGCTATATATATATATATATATATATATTAGTTTACAGTAAGGAATGTTTGTCAAATAGTAAAGCCATCCCAAAAAAAATACAATGGATAGTTCGAAGTTAAACTATGAAAAGTTAGATCATCTTTCCTACAAATTTTAAATAAACATATAATAGTTTGACTAAAGATAAAAAAAACTAGAGTTAGCATTTTTCTTGGGACGGAGACAGTACCTGTAGACATAAATTATATTCGTCAATCTCTCTCACACTGTCACACACCACTAGATCTAACCAATGGCAGTGGTTCCGAGCTACTCCACCGTCCGAATCTAGGCTCTGTTTGGTTGTTAGGCGTTTCTAAAATTTCTGTCATATTAAATGTTTGACATATGCATGGAGTATTAAATATAGATTAATTATAAAATTAATTACACAACTTGTGACTAATTTGCGAGACAAATCTTTTAAGCCTAATTAGTCCATAATTTGACAACGTGGCGCTACATTAATATGTGCTAATGACATATCAATTAGGTTTAAAAAAATCGTCTCACAAATTAGCCTCCATCTATGTAATTGGTTTTATAATTAATCTATATTTAATGCTCCTTATTAATATCTAAACATTCTATGTGACATGAATTTTAGGAGCGATTAAAGAATAAAACACCCCGTTACTTTCCAAAGAGATACTGGTCGAGAGTAGGCCAATCTCTGACGCACAGAGCAACAAGAGGACAATAATAGTACGTACTAGTTTCAACTAATCACACCAGAGACCAGACTAATCATTGTGAAGGAAATATAGAAAAACGATTTACAGATGCCGGATTCACCATACCATCTCATCAAGCACAAAAAACAAAAACACGAAATAGTAGAATGCTGCTCAGCGCTGATAATAAGTGTGTCCGGCGTGTGTCCTATTCATTAGCTGTTTAGCTATCTGTGGCGCTCTCTCTCTCTATCTATTTTGTGAGTGAGCTCAAGCTAGATAATAAGCAGAAGATATATGGCCGGCGGCGGCGATGGTCAAGGCGGGACGTCGTCGTCGTCCCATGAGCTGAGCGGGCGGCTGGAGGGCATCCTCGCCGACCGTGAGGTGCCATGGGCGCGCCGGGCCTCCAAGGCAGCCATGATAGAGCTCCGGCTGCTGGCGCCAATCGCGGCGCCGGCGGTGGTGGTGTACGTGCTCAACAACGTGCTGTCCATCTCCACGCAGATCTTCTCGGGCCACCTCGGCAACCTGGAGCTCGCTGCCTCGTCGCTCGGGAACAACGGCATCCAGGTCTTCGCCTACGGCCTCATGGTATGTGAATACGTACTTGCTGCTCATCTTCTGCACAGAATCATCAGATCGATCGAGTGTTCTCTCTTCTAATTAAGGCGCGGCCGGCATCGATCCATGCATCCGATCCGTTGCATTTGTTTCATTCCGACAGATCGAGCGCAGTTTCTACTATGTTCACCCTTTATTCTTACTACTTCTATATATATATATATCACGTGGGTGAGAGAGATTCTGAATTAAAACGAGCATTACGAGAATTGTATTCTTTCATGGACGGAAGGAGTATTATGAAACAAATGACAGCCCAATTAATTCAGACCTGCATCTATATGCTGAAAAACATCTCATCAATTATTATTATTATTAGCGTATTGTATATAATATATATGAAGCCACAAAGCAGCATCATTTTCATACATTTCTCGCCCTTCATTTTGTTTTTCAAAAACACTGTACAACCACAAATGCTTGCATCAAGGTACATAATAAATTCATCTCTATAAATACACGCAAGCACATGTAACCTAACTCTATGAACACATTCAAGAGAGTGAAGTGACAAATTTTAAAATTGACGAAGCTATAATAGATGTCTCACTGTCTACAGATACTTTGCACCTATCGTTTGGTTCATGGCTAGCGCTCGGCCACGCATATGCACATAGAATGGGTTTGAAAATTTGGAATACGACACGTATATACTACGGAGCAAAAGGAAACATATTTATTTTATATCAAGTATTAGTATGCGCGCATACAGTTCCTACTAATTCATATCTTCTTCAGTATGTGGTTCCTATATATTCCATCGATTCTAATTTATAGGTCGTTTTGGCTTTCTAGATATATAATTTTTATTATGTTCTAGACATATCGTATATATCTATGTGCATAACAAAAACTATGTATCTAAAAAAAATAAAACGACTTATAATTTAGCACAAAGCTGAGGGTAGTATTACTTTATATATATATATATATAAACCTACGCTACAGTCCGGATTATGCTGGTGGCACTGGGCATTGTGCTCTCGGACATCGTACTGGACAACTGCACAAACTTTCCATGCGTTAGGTACACACATTATTATCTTCTAATAAAGTGAAATTGATGTCCTAAATATATTTTGCCTGTATACACTACAGCAGCTAGTGGCTTCCCCGTGGCACTCGGGGAAGCCTTCCCCGAGTGCAATACCGGCTAATCCTCATCCGGCAAAGGCGTCTTTCTCAAATGCCGAAAATTGTGCACTCGGAGAAGGCTTTGCCGAGTGCCGTGCTGGCACTCAGGAAAGATTTAACACTGTTGGTCGACGGCCGACGCCATTTTTTTTCTTCCCCGAGTGCAACACTCGGGGAAGATTTACACTCGACAAAATAAAAATACGAAAAAACCCGAAAATAATAGCAAAAAAACCCAAAAAATAATTTCGGGGGAGGCCGCCACCGGCCAGTGCGCGCACGCCTCCATTGAAGTCGCTGCATTTTTTGCGCAAAATTTGCGGCTAACGCGGCCGGCGGGATTTGAACTCACGACCTCTCCCTCACGTGTCTGTTGCTCTACCACTGCACTACACTGTCACTTGTGTCTAGATTTCGTTATCTATCCTCATATATTATACTAAATCGAGAGTAAATTGCTTGTTTGAGGCCCTAAACGAATTCAAATCAAAAAGTGGTAAACTACAAAGTTTCATAACTTTTCGAGATGTACAATTTTCATTTAGGAAGTTTTTCCATCCGAGATCGTTTGAAAAATTCGAATTTCAAATTTGAGAGATTCAAACGTAGTTTTGCATGATAAGATGATTTCAAATAAAAAGTTGTCAACTACATAGTTTCATAACTTTTGGAGATCAACAATTTTAATTTAGGAAGTTTTTTCATCCGAGGTCTTTTGAAAAATTCAAATTTTAAAATTTTCTTCCCCGAGTGCCTTCCCTGGCACTCGGCAAAGAGGCCCTTTGCCGAGTGCCATGACAGGGCACTTGGGGAAGCCAGCCTCTTTGGCGAGTGCCAGGGTGCGACACTCGGCAAAGCAATTTTTTTTTAGTTTCACGAGCTGGGCCGTCAAGTAACATTTTTCTTTGCCGAGTGCCGCTCTTTTACCGAGTGCTAGGCACTCTGCGGCACTCGGCAAAGCCTCTCTTCCCCGAGTGCTATTCTTCCCCGAGTGCAACACTCGGGGAAGATTGGCTTTGCCAAGTGCCCAATTTTTGGCACTCGGGGAAGCTTGCGACACTCGGGGAATTTTGCCTCTCCCGTAGTGATAGTATCTAGCTAGTCCAGCTGAAGTCTATATAATACACAGATTTTTACATTCAATCGTACGTGGGCCAATACAGTCAGCTATGGGTTCAATTATCAATTATATATATGATAAAGGTAGTAATCTGAAAAGGATGTACTAGCTGATCAATGTTGTCTGTATATATTTGTGAAACGTAAGTTATTTTGTTTTACTCGACCATGGTGATAGGGTTCTTTACACCGAGACAATTTCTTGTGCAGGGGGAGAAAACGATTGAGTAGATGGGGACATACTTTACTATCAAAATATTGCTGCCATGCCTGAATAAGAATGTTGAATAAAAAAATTGCGTCGGAGTGAGTTCCTTGGTTTCTCCCACCTTTTCTTTTCTTTTGCTAAATTAAATCTTCTTCCAATAGACTAAACATTCCAAAACCTGGAGTGCTCTTCCGTTAAGCATAAAACAAGAGGCTAACCCCGACTGATTTCCAAATCAGCCAGGGCTCAGGGGCTATACACTCTGGGCGATCTACAGATCGATGGCTTGGTGGGCCTATGAGGGCCAGCTCCCGAGAAGGCCTCGGCGGTCAAGAGGAAAGGCCAAGACGCCTTGCCCCTGTCCGAAGCAGTCTCTTGCTTGGGGGCTCAGCCAAGGCGCAGGGAAGTCCCAACCCAAGAGAGTCCTACCCGAGCCAAGACCCCCATAGTCGTCCCCAACCTTGGCTCAGGGTGACCATTTGCCCCAAGTGAACCCGGAAGCCAGCTCCGCAGTCTATCAGGCACCCAGAGCCTGACAGGCGCAGAAGCCCCACACCGCCGTCCCACTCCCACGAGGTGTTGTCGGCCACCCCATCGGCAGTGTCACGCCCGGGTGTGACGCATCAGGACAAGGAACTCTCCGAAGCCCGCGAAGAGGGGGGGGCTCCGGGCCCGCTTGGTAGCCCCTCCGGACAGTGGGAGGAGCCTGGCGTGATAAAGAAGCTATGAGAAGGCTCACCCAGGGAAGGTGCCACTGTGGCAGATAACACCTGACTGTCACCACCATGTTAGCAGAGTAGCAGTTGCGTTAGGAAGTGATTGCGGTTTTGTTAGGCCCTAGCTACAAGACACAAACGAGGACCCAGCGGTGCCAAGACGAAGAAGAAGACCAAAGCCAGGGCGAGAAACCCTAGGACGAAGCATCCATTTTATATCAGTATATAAGGGAAGGCATGAGCTTCGGTAGAAAAGGGGATTGAACCTAACGAGACAGGACCCGATCAAAAAACTAGATTAGCAAAGCGCTTTCCCTACACCCTCTCTCGATTTACTCCATTGTAAAACTCACCATTGAGCATTTTCCTAACACGAAAAACATCACTGTTGGATGTAGGACTTAGAGACCTGAACCAAGATAAATCCCTTCTGTTTTTTAGTGTTTTGAGTGCTCGAGGCCACCGATGGCACACGCATCGACCCATGTCGACAACCCGATGATTGTCGTGGTTAATTACGAACCAACGACAACTGTCCTTATGGGTTTTTTCTCTTTTCAGACCATATCATCACTGTTGAAAATGTCAATTACTGCACTTACAAAACCGGGAAAGTAGTAATATTTAGTGGTCACTACTACAAAATCAGTTTTTCGAGATGCCACCTTTTATTTTCTTTTTCTTACATTTTTATATTCCTTGGTACCAATGTGTCTAGTTTTCAATGTAAAGCGTGGCTTTTTTTTTCCTGAAATATATATAATACAACTGTGCAGCTTGGCATGGGGAGTGCCGTGGAAACCCTGTGCGGCCAAGCCTACGGCGCACACAGGTACGAAATGCTGGGCATCTACCTGCAGCGCTCGACCATCCTGCTCGTCGCCGTGGGCGTGCCGCTCAGTGTCATGTACGCCTTCTCCGAGCCCATCCTCGTCTTCCTCGGCGAGTCTCCGGAGATCGCCAAGGCCGCGGCCGTCTTCGTCTACGGCCTCATCCCGCAGGTCTTCGCGTATGCGGCCAACTTCCCGATCCAGAAGTTCCTGCAGGCGCAGAGCATCGTGGCGCCCAGCGCCTACATCTCCGCGGCCACGCTGGCCGTGCACCTGCTGCTGGGGTGGCTGGTGGTGTACAGGCTCGGCATGGGCCTCCTGGGCGCGTCGCTGGTGCTGAGCCTGAGCTGGTGGATCATCGCCGCCGCCCAGTTCCTGTACATTGTCACCAGCGAGCGGTGCCGCCGGACGTGGACGGGGCTCTCCTGCCGGGCGTTCTCGGGCTTGCCGGAGTTCCTCAAGCTGTCGACGGCGTCGGCTGTGATGCTGTGCCTTGAAACGTGGTACTTCCAGATCCTCATCCTCATCGCTGGCCTCCTCGACAACCCTCAGCTCGCCCTCGATTCTCTAACAGTCTGGTAATACGGTGATCATAAAAAAACTTGCTGCATTTCCAAAAAGATGTTGTCTTCGGTTTGCATGCATATGTAGCAGTTATGTACGTGGAATCAATAACCTTGATTTTGTGTTATTGGGCAGCATGACGCTTGCTGGATGGGTGTTCATGATCTCCATTGGGTTCAATGCTGCTGCGAGGTGAATACTGAATCATAGTATCTGTGAATATACATTTATATACATACACGTTCTTCCTGTTTTCATATATAACTACCACTACTGTCGTCTGCGTTTGCATCACAACTACTACTAGTGTGAGAGTTGGGAATGAGCTGGGAGCCGGGCACCCGCGGGCGGCGGCGTTCTCTGTGGTGGTGGTGACCGCTCTGTCGTTCGTGATCACTCTGGCCATGGCGGTGGTGTTCCTCGTCTTCCGCGACTACCTCAGCTACATCTTCACCGAGGGAGAGACGGTCGCCCGCGCCGTCTCCGACCTCTGCCCTCTCCTCGCCACAACGCTCATCCTCAACGGCATCCAGCCCGTCCTCTCAGGTACGTACCGCACCCGCCACCCGGACAATAGATCGGCAAGAAGAAGGTCCTCTGCTCTGCGTCCAAATAAACTCTTTTTGTCGTCTATGGTCACCAGGCGTGGCTGTCGGGTGTGGCTGGCAGAAACTGGTCGCGTATATAAACGTCGGTTGCTACTACTTCGTGGGCATCCCTCTCGGCATTCTTCTCGGCTTCAAATTCCATCTTGGAGCGAAAGTATACTTCAGTTTCTAGTGACTAACCATATACATATGCTCATATCTGCAGCATGATGCAGAGCAAATTTACCTGCTCCGATCCTTGCAGGGAATATGGACTGGGATGCTCGGTGGCACATGCATGCAGACGCTTATCTTGTTCTGGATCACTTTTAGGACAGACTGGGACAAAGAGGTATGTACATATGCGCCAATAAACGGATCGGAGACCCTATACTTATATTTGCTGAGAATCAGTCAAGAAGTTAATTATTTCCACGGTCGTTATAATCACTATTATCTTTGTTAGTAAAGACACTCAAAAGCGTCTCATATATCTGAAATTTATCGAGGACAACAATAGCCAGTATAAAAAGTGACAACTTGACACAAAACAGCCCCTAAAAAGTAAGAGTACATCAAAGACCAATCTGTCATCGTCCTCTCTTTCATTGTTTGCTGCTCACCGGAGCTTCAATCGCATTGAAAAGGCAACAATGCAAAGAGACACGTGCAAACATCTTCACCATAACATGATTTGAAAACACCAAAAGCCACGTATCAAGAGGTCTAGAAATTATCTAGGTCTACTAAAAGATATAGGAAAATAACATATAATGAATACAAAACAAATAAAACAAGTATGCAAAGGTATAATAGTTTAGAATCCAATTAGCATTAGAATTGAATTTTCCATGGTAATAAAAAAAAACAAGAAAACCAAAGGGAGGCTAATGGGAGGGATTACATGAACACATGAGGGCTATCCAAGTGAGACACCATGTCTTGGTACACACATAAAAAAATCATCCAAGCACTTCCAATCCCTCTGCCGCTCCTTTCCCAAAACAATATGTCCTCTTGCCATAGCCCTAAGCTTGTTGATTCATTCTTTCTTTGTGTTCCTATCCTGAAGTTTTGGTGTAACCATCCATATGGATGAATGAATTGAAGGCGAAATAACCAAACAAAACATGTCAATTTCAACGGTCATAGCTCAAATCTAATAGCCTTCCTGGTGGTGAGCTAGGCAAATAACAGGATCTGGGAGCCAAGATTATGATGAACTCATGAAAAACATATATCAGATTCTTATATCTTACTATATGTACAGTTGGTCCATATCAATCCTCCAATGTGCATGCATCAGAAGAATGCATGCGAGCAATGCAATCACTCACCTTTTTTCTTCATGAGAAGTCAATCACAAACAAAAACAAGCATGGTCACAACATACCGACAATAGTGTGATAGTAACATGGGTAGCATCCTGAGAGCTGAGTGGCATTAGTGATGGATACATAGTTTGTTTGTGGCTACTTGAGCCAGCAATGCCACTAGTAGGCACAAGAAGCATTGAGATAAATCTAGCAATGTTTTAGGGAAAATAGATAGCTATAGATCGGTTAAAAAGTACAGATGATACAAAATTTAAATTTGTAAGAGAGCCAGTGAACCAACAATTTTGAGAGATTTTGACTATGGTTTTATTAAGAATGGAGCTCACCAAGAGAAAAAATTGAAGCCTACTTTGATTTGGTGTCAGGAAGAATTGAACAACCATGTGATAAGATCTTGTAAAGGGAAAGAGGAGAGGGTGGCAACAATAAATTTAAGCTAACAAATTTGTCGCCGATAGGTATATGAAGTTTGTATTGATGGATGCATTGGGCATATAGAGAGACAACAATTACATACAAACAAACAAAAGTATTTTGCAGAAATTATTTTGAAGTAGAAAATCCAAATGTGACAATAAAAAACTAGCTACCCACATTGCTAGTTATTATAATATTACATGGATGATACCTCAAAGTATGAGGGTCCACTTATGCAAATCTGAAATTAGGCTGCAGTAAAAAACAATGCTTGTTTCAGACCATAATATAATATATTTTATGCCAAAACATGGAGAAATAAGGACAGCATAAGGGAGCTCAAATAGTCAAAGTGATTCAAATCCTAACCTAGCGATGATCCCGCAAAGATTGTGATGGACAAAACAACTGAGTCTAAGGCTATTTATAGATGGTAACACATTAGGCATCTTATACGCCATCTCGTAGCGTTACCATATTTGAAATTTTATGGGCTACAAAAGTATTATATGTTGGTCTAATCTATCCTCAACAATCATGGTAACAAGACCAAACCTTTAAAATCTCAAGCCACCATCGGCCAAATTCAAACTAGTCCAGATGTCACAAGTACACCCCCCCTCAAGGGCCCGACGTCCTCGTTGGCCCATCACATCCACAACTGGGTGAAACATGAACTTTCCCTCATGGGACACGCGACCATCAATGCAATACCGGCACATGTGTCATGCCATGCACCACACAAAGGCTACACCAAATAGCTTAGATCCACTACACAATAAGTGGACCACACACTCCCAAACACCCACTTACGGTTTCGTCTTCACTTCACGTAAATGGGTTAACCTAGGGATGGTGACATGTACTATAGAAACTTTATATGTTGGTCTAACCTACCTCAACAAAGAAGATAGGACTAAACCCTCACAATTTCACAACAACATACACATGGGCCACCATGTGCCAAATTCAACCTGGGCTGGATGTGACATTATTACAAGCTCGAAACTAAAATACAAGACGGTAACTAAAAGACCATCCACTAGATAAAAAAGAACTACGTGATTTTTTATTCTAATAGCCTACAAGCGTCACCAATTTGTTCTTTGTCTTCATCCCACTGTAATAGAGCCTAGAATCAAAGCTATTGTGTCCCCTCCAAAAAGAACATGAAAATAGGCTAGGGCATATGCAAATTTGAATGTGGGGTATTACATATGGTATTACCATTATGAACAACCCTAATTGCATATGCACGGTAAATGTGGATATGCCTAATCATAGTTACTCCAAATATATCCTGATTTAACCCATTTTGCATGAAGGTGTGTTTTAGCCATCATCTGAGCGTACTAGTAGGAAAACATAAAAAAGACGCTAATATAAGATATCTCACATATGTGATGTTAACCATCTTTTCATTCATCAAATAGTTGAAATTGAGAGTTTGTGTTCTTCTAGTTTATGGAACTGTTTTGTAAAGACAACAAATTCAATTTATAGCATTTGTGTTCTTTTCTTCCATGTTTGTGTCCAGGTGGAAGAAGCCAGGAAGAGATTGAACCAATGGGAGGACAAGAAGCATCCTCTTTTGGTACCCTCAGATTAACTCATGAGAATTACCCATGATTTGTGTGGACCTCATTCATAATGTTTTGTTGCAGTGCAAACATCATATATGTTGTTGTGTCCATTAGCATCACATGCTATTGTTGTAGTGTTGTCAGCAGAGTGATTTCGAAGATTGGTGCATACAAAGTACGAGTGATGTTTGAAAACATTACTTTTTAAAAAACATACAAATGAATGATCTTATTTCAACTTTTCTTTATTAATGAAGGTCAAATCATTTCAACTAATTCAAAGAAACCCACATAGTCATCTAATAGAACTATACAAAAGTAATGTAAGGAATGCAAAGGCCAATCCAAGAATGGGACAAGGTGAATTGCGTTCTTAAAGATTTACTTTAAGGCTCTACTTGATCTCGCACTAGGAAAGAAACAAACGAACTAGCAAGGTGTGCACATATATTTTCTAGTGTTCTTTACTTACCAAATCCACCAACAACAATCCTATAAAGTATCCTAAACTAATCTTGGAAAGGTAGAGGTCAACAAAGAAGCATATGTGGAAACATAAATGTGGTATGTAAAGAGATTGTGCCAAAAGGGGGCAAACTCCTAAGATGTGGCAATGTATCTTGAGATACAGGTTTCTAAACAAAACCCCTGGTCCACCTTAGAGTTCCACAAAGGATATGCTCTTGGTCACGGTATTAGGCTTGCCACAAAGTCTCCCACCAACAAATACAAGTGCCACAAGTCACTATGACTTGCCACTCGACACCTGATTCTCTGGGTCACCTGTCGTCTACTATGACGTTTCTCCACCAAGGAAATGATCTCCTCGTCCCTCGAACACTAAGTAATGGCTGCTCATACCAAGCTCGGAGGATCAATGTGGCCAAAGAGTCATTAAGACTATATGTGATGAGGACATCACATGATATGCCCATGAAAGTTAAAAACAAGGTGAGCTCATTTCTATGTTTGCACAATGACATAATAAGTAAGAATTTGTTGCTACTTAATATAGGTATGTCAAATGTTCTTAAGAACAACAGTGATGGTGATGGAGCATGGATATGCTAGGAACAAGACCGATCTTAAAGTGCAAGTCCATCAAAGTTTAACATTCAATTCGTCAGCAGTCCAACACACTACTTCATTCCGAAGGCCATAACTCTTTCATACAGAGTGTGATTGAGGCAAATGAGTACACTATGGAAAGCTTATTTGATAAGATTTCAAATAGACTTGGTTTTACCTAGAGATCATGTCGGCAAGGCCTCTAAACCATCATGACAAGTTGCCACTCACTACTACACAAAAACTTAACCGAGGCGTTTGGAAAAAGGCCTCCGAGGCAGTTGGGCCGGTTGCCCACCTCGGTTATTCGTGGCAGGGCAGCCGGCCTAGCAACTGTTGTTCTAACGCAACCAACTCGGTTAATACATTAACCGAGGGGATCATTTATAAGGCCCGCCTCTGAAAAGGCTGAGGCCCAACTGGCCCATGAGAGACCCGGTAACCGTCTATGATATAAATACACGAAGTTAGGGTTTTCATTCACTCATTTCTCTTCCTCTCCTTAGCCGATCGATCGGTGCGCTCCCCCGCGCCCTTCTCTCCCCCGAGCGTCGGTCTCCCCCGCGCCCCTCCCTCTCTCCCCCCGAGCTCTTCCCTCCCCCCCGTCGCCCATCCTTCTCCCCAACGCGGTGGCGCATCCCTCTCTCCCCCAAGTGGCGACGCATGGGAATCCTCTCTCTCCCACAAGGTGGCGCCCCTGGCCGGCGTTCGGTGGGGAGCAGCAGGGTGGAAGCGGCGGTGGTCTTCCCCTTCTTCCCCACCGGCAGCGAGGTGGAGGCAACGATGTGGAGGTGGTGGCCTTCCCCTTCTTCCCCAAGGACAGCGCACCTCCACCACCCCGGATCCAGTGGCCATCCCCTTCTTCCCCAAGGACGACGCACCTCCACTACCCTAGATTCGGTGCCACCACCACGGATTCAGTGCCCCT